ACGGGAAAGGGCCTCATACTTTGGTGAGGCGCCGTGGGAAGGACTGCCACAAGCCCAGCCGGCCCTCCAATCGAATTGTCGGGTAGCTCCGGTTGCTTCCCGGCCTTTTGTAGCCGTCTAACCCTCTGTTGAACTCGGAACAGGTCTGGCTTAATGTTCCCGTCTCATGCCAAACAGCCATTGTGAGAAGGAGCGGTAAGCGGCAGAAGGGTCGAGAATCAATAGTTTCGCTCCTTTGAGGTGATAGATCTGTCGTGATGTCTCCTGCTATGTAATCAGCAAAGATTTCCAAAGTCAAACGCAACAGTATTCTCGACCCGATCTTGAAGTTCATACAGAACAAGACGGTATCGCGAGCCTTGCGAAAAGGAAGGAAAGATCCTGAGAGTGCAAAAGCATCCGCAAGCCTTGAAAACAGAGCCCAATGTTTCAATTGCATATGCTGGTATCGTGCAAAGTTAGACGAGGAGGCTGAAGTAAGACAAACCACGATCCGGCACCTAGTGTCCTATGATATCAAGTAGCCTTGTTACACAAGGGTGCAAGCTTAGATGGCTTCAACAACGCCTCCGACGAATGACAGCCTAGGCACATAACCGTGGTATCGGCACTGGCGGTCACACCACCAAGCGAGCGGCCTCGTCGCACAACTGAGGTACCTCGAAGGGGAAGGTCGCTGCCTGACTACCGTTAATGCAAGGCACAACCCACGAGGACGAGGGCTGTGAAGAACGGCAGTGTTCAAAATTGGGGATGGAGTCGATTTTCCAACAGCCACCGGATCCAGAAGACCATGTCGATCCGTTCAGTGATCACTGATTCCATAGCTACTTTCGCTTTGGTGAGGGTGGTAGCCAGTATCGTAGATATTGCAATACATCCGTAGCACATAGGATAGCATCTTCAGCACTACGTAAACAGGTGCGACTTTTGAGTTTCTGTAGAATATATCAAGTTCGGGTCCGCGCACAGGAAGCTTGTGTCGGTCTAGGGGGGAGCCTTGAACGGTCAGAAGACCATACACTTGTCTAGAGTAGGTAGTACTTAGCAGTTGTATGTAGTCGCACCCCGTACTTATTTTGGGAACACCCGGTCGGCGCCATTAAAAGAGGTAGGCATCGGCAGCGGCGACACATGGGCGTGCCGATGGTCCGTGCAAACCTACAGGCCCGAATAGGGCAACCGAAAAGGTGAGGTTGATCCAATGGACATCAGGTGAAATTGACTGGGCTGAGAAAGACTCGGATGAGCGGCAGAACACGTTTTCGAATAGTGTAATTCGGAAGCGGAAACGTGTGACAATCATAGAGATACACTACGTACGCCGTTCTCACCAAGCCTGATCCTGGCTTGTTTAACACGCTAAACTATCTCTACATAGTAGTCTACCCAGTGGATAGGCGGTGCTGCTTCCTTTCTTAGTCTAGGGAACCTTAGTAAAGTGTCAACGTTTGGTTGTTGAAGCTGGGTCGAGATAATGCATACACTAGATTATGTGTCACGAAATAGAATGCCCGGTCTTCCTCACCTTCGGCAGAGGGCTTCACGCACGACATTTGGCCGAGATCGGGACGCCGAGTCGAGTTGCCGCTACCCCTATTTTTTTGTAATGCCGAACGGGGCTTTAAGGTAGGTTCTGAGGATGGGCACGATAGGGTGCCTCTGCCATGATTAGTGGGAACAGTGATAAAGCTTCTGTTACACAACCACAACAACAACTCAAAGTCATTGAAGGCGGAAGACCGCAGTCCGGTAGTCACACGTGGTACAAGTATAACTCGTGGTTTATACCCTTCGAGATTTGGACACATCTTCTTCGGAACGGCGATGCCATTGGCAAACGGTTAAGATTCTTGTTCGTACGGAGAGGTTGACGCGGCTTGAACGTTAGTTATAGGGCGCACCAGATTGACCAATGCTGGATCAAACATGCCTCTCCATGTACATTATGTCTGCCCAAACCCTCGTTTGCCACGAGAAAACACCTACATACGCCGTAGTCTGATACACTTTGGTACGCTGGATGATGGGCACCTAGCCGGGGGTGCCGCGGTAAAGTCCACGAATCATGCTAGAACCCGCTGATCCACATAGCTAAGGCTTGGTTGAGAATGCAGTCCGGTATCAAGCAGCAAACGCTCGCACCGAGAATAGCACTTGCTGTATCCGGCAGTTCACACGAGCCATCTGATATCTGGGCCCGTCATGCAGTGGATGCTTGTTGTTGATGAGTTGGGCTGGACTGGGTCTCGACTGCCCATGCTGTTTGATCGGCCAATGTTTGAGCACTAAGGTCGGCAGGACTTTGAGTATATATAGATAAAAGCGATAGTCCGCCTTTGAGCAAATGTCCTTTTCTTTGTACCCATCATCACTTGCAGACGCACACACTTGGTCCTTCACAACTTCATCAATCCAAGATCCAAGTCGAGCTTATACTTTCGACATGGTACTGATCAAACTCAATCCAACGGTGGGCGCCACGGATGCCGTGGCGTCTTCCAAGCACTCGGCAGTTCTTCATAGGCATCTGGACACAACGTTTTTGAACATGACGAGGTCTGAAGGAAACTTTTTGATCCTCGAGAATGACCGCAAGATATTCGATGCTTCGGGGGGCGCTGCGGTCGGTTGCCTTGGCTGGGGCGACCAGAGAGTTGCCCAAGCTGTCACAAACCAGGTACTTGCCGCACCGTACTGTGCGACCATTTTCTACACCACCAGGGTCCAGGAGGAGCTATGCCGCGATTTGGTCCAATCGACAAACGGGGCCATGGCGCGTGCCTACATAGTCAACTCAGGTAAGACAATCACCTCCCAACTTTCCCCAGCAGCAACTGACACTTGCCAGGCTCCGAGGCAATGGAGGCGGCTGTGAAGCTCGCCAGGCAGTACTTCCTCGAGATTGACCAGCCACAGCGGACACGATTTATTTCTCGGAAGCAGTCATACCACGGCATCACTCTTGGCGCACTATCCGTTGGAGGCCACGAGGTTCGGCGGGCCAAGTTCGAGCCACTCTTGATCAAGAATGTCTCGAGAGTGTCGCCGTGCAACGCATTCCGCGGCAAAGCCCCCGGCGAGTCAGATGAGGAATACGCCGAGAGGCTGGCCAAGGAGCTCGATGAGGAGTTTCAGCGAGTAGGACCAGAGAACGTTTGCGCTTTTGTCGCTGAGCCCATTGTTGGAGCTGTAAGTTGCTTCACGTGATCGGAGTTGAGCGTGCGCGAATGCTGACTGTTGCTTGTCAGGCCCTTGGGTGTGTGCCTGCGGTCAAGGGTTACTTCAAAGCCGTGAGAGACGTGTGTGACAAGTATGGCGCACTCTTGATCCTTGACGAGGTGATGTGTGGTATGGGGAGGAGCGGCACTCTGCACGCATGGGAGCAGGAGGGTATTGTACCTGATATCCAGACCATCGGGAAGGCCCTCGGGGGCGGTTACCAACCCGTAGCCGGCCTCCTTGCTGGTCACCGGGTGGTCAATGCACTCGAAAAGGGTTCCTCGTGAGTTATGTCCCCGACAGTCCAACAGTGACGATATACTAACTGAAGCCCACTAGTGTCTTCGTCCATGGCCACACATACCAAGGTCATCCTGCCGCATGTGCCGCAGCCTTGGAGGTGCAGCGGATCGTTCGAGAGGAGAACCTTTTGAGCAATGTCCGCGCAATGGGTGATCTTCTCTCGAGCAGGATGCGTGAAATACTCGCAAGCCATCCGAACGTCGATGATATCCGTGGCCGGGGCCTCTTCTGGGGCATCGAGTTTGTTGCGGACAAGGAGAATATGGCCCCTTTCCCGTCAGAGGACCATGTTTGCATGGAAATCTGTCAACTGGGGCTAACCGACAAGTATGGGATCAACGTGTATCCAGGCGGCGGATCAGTTGATGGAATTACGGGCGACCACATTATCATCTCGCCAGCCTTCAATATCTCGCGTGAAGATGTCGAGTGGATCGCGGCAACAGTAGGCCGGCTTGTGTCCGACTATTTCGCAGCAAAGGCCGGGACCCAATAATGTTTCTATTTCTTTTTTGTTTTCTTCTGTGGATTTGGACCCGCGGTTCGTGTTGTCCTTGGGAGCATTCAGGTCCTTGACGGACATGACCTTGGTTTTGGCGTTTACTGATGGGTTTTGCGCCTTTTTCTTATCAGGGACACAAGATGGAACTTGTTCAGGCGAAGGCGATTGTATGGCTAAAAGAGGACGAGGTAGTTCTAGAAATGCGGAACTCGAATCTGACGAATATACACGACCCATGACTATCGTGGAGTCCGTAAAGTGATCATTGCGGGCCACTCTGTAAATACGTCACATTATGGTAGAGGTTGAAATTGGGTTGAACTGGCCGAGTTTCTCCGGTGACTATCTATGGTAGGTTTGTTGGCCGTTTTTCTGTTAAATCAACTGAGGTTGTCTCGGTGTGGCTGCGAGTGGATCAGAGAAAACGGAGATTGAGAAAGTTGCATGCGCTCTTCCGATCTGACAATGCGTCCCGTCCTTCTGGAAGGCAGTATGGATGGAAGGATGGAGGGGAGGAAAAAAAAAAAAAGAGTGACTCCAGCTCCCGTCTTTCTCTTGTGGGGGGTTCCCGTCGGGAAGAAGTCCGTATCGTGCAATGAGTGGAGCTGCTGCGAGATAGTGGGGCGCTGCTGCAGCTTTGGCACAGCCCTTCCCTTAGGTCCCTTTCGGCCCCGCGCTCACGGGGGAAGCGGGGCGGATTGGCGGATCCCCTCCCGCCTGCTCGCCCCGGACTGTTTGGTGCAACCTGGCCTTTGTCCCCCTGTGCTTGGTGGACTTGGAGGTGGTCCGGGCCCCTCCGCTAAGCGAGCGGCTCGCGCCTAGCGTTTAGGGGGCGCCAGGGGGCCAACTGGGCGTCAAAGGCCTGGCCTGCCCGACGATGACCTACCTACCTACCTCTACGTACCGGGCCGTGCTGCCTGACATCAACGGACTACTCCCGACTTCCGATCCTCGTTACCCTGCCGTCCTCCCTGTCCGAGTCCCGCTGCCGACGTCCGAATCACCGTACCACACACCGACGATCGAAGCGCGTAGCGCGTCTTAGTTTGGTTCGGATCGCGCCACAACATCGCAACTATGGCTGTCGGCCTCATTAACGGCCGCCTCGCTGCCGACGAGGAAGCCCGGGCAGAAGTTGACGTCCTTAACTCGCGCCTCGAAAAGACATCCCAACTCACCAAGAAGATTCAGGCCTGCCTGGCAAGGCTGGATGCCACCGGCAAGAGTGTTCGGGATGTTGCCGGGCCTCTCAGTGGCGAGACTAAGAAGCTTCAGGTTCTAGGCAACAGCAAGTCACCCGGCCCTTCATCCCCGTATCTTGTTCATCGTCGATTGAAGCTGACCGTTGAATTACTGTACGTAGACATCGACGCCGTGATCGCCGCCATCGAAAAACTACGATCCCCCGCCGACAGTAAGAATGACGAAGAACAAATCATCCGCATGGGCCCTGAAAAGGCCGGCCTCCCCAACTACCTGGCATCTATCAAGCGCCTGAACAAGGCATTGAATGACATGAAGGCTTCCAATCTTCGATCAACGCAGCAAACCGTCGCCGACCTTCAGCGTCTAGTCAAGACTGGAAATTCCCAACTTGAGAGTTCATTCGACAAACTACTACGGAGCGAAACACCCCGAGCCATCGAGCCTCTACACTATCTCACCAAGAACATGCCCTTCCCGGTGCTCTCCCAAGAAAAGATCACCAGGCTAGGTCTCGTGAACTCATACCTTACCGGGGTGCACCAACAGAACACTGGGGCAGGAAGCTCGCAAGAGTCGCCCGTCATCAAGATCTATGCCGAAGTCCGGGCTCAGTACCTGCTATCAACTTTGGGCAACCTGGCTACGGCAAGCACCAACACAGCCAAGAAAAAGACTCCAGAGGCAGTATACAGGGCGGGCACCAACGGTATGGGAACCTACGCCCAGGCCATGGAGGGTCTATTCCTAGCCGAGTACGACAACATCTGCAGCATCTTCATGAGGGAGGACTGGGGCCCTGTCTTTCAGGCAACATGTCAACCAGCCCTGGTGGAGCTGGGCAGGACCCTTCGGGAACTGAACAGTCACATCAAGTCGCATATCACCACAGACTGCTACCTCGCATATGAGATCGTCGAGATCATTTCCAGTCTGTCCAGTAACCTTGAGAACCGAACGGGCGAGCTGAAGAGCTCTCTTGCTGCGGCCCTGAAGCCCATCCGGGAAACGGCCAAATCATCGCTCGTCGACTTGCTCGAGGAGACCAAGCGCCAAGTCAACAGCCTGCAGACGCTGCCCGCGGATGGCGCGCCCACCCCGCTCGCAACACAAACCATGCAGCGGTTGCAGTCCATGGTCAACTTCTTGCGGCCGATATCCAGCATCATGATTTCCATCGGCGATGGCGGCTGGAAGTCGGCCGCTGCATCCAAAGGAGGGGCTACCGACACCATCCCCAGCCTCGTTTCGTTCGATGTCGGTGCGGACGGGCAAGAGATCTTTGCCCACTACTGTGCCGACACCATCGAGACCCTCCTTTCTTCGCTGGATGCCCGTGCTCGTGTCCTATATCAGCAGAAGAAGGCAGTCATTGGTGTGTTCCTGGCTAACAATGTCACCGTTATTGAGCGTATGATCAACGAATCTGGCCTGGTAACCCTTCTCCAGTCTCGCCTCCAAGTGCTCGACGTATGGAGAAAAAAGGCCACTGCTCTCTACACCGAGACCTGCAAGGAAATCAGTATCCATCTGTTTGATACGGTCCATACCAACCGCACCGCGCGCCCGGGTTCCGGTCAGGGCATGGTAAGCTCGGCTTCGATCATGAAGGGCCTCAGCTCCAAGGATAAGGAGAAAATCAAGGGCATGTTCACGGCCTTCAATTCCGGCTTCGAAGACATGGTTGCCCGTCACAAGCAGTTCACCATGGAGAAAGAGGTGCGCCAGATGCTTGCACAGGATGTTCAGCACATGCTCGAGCCGCTTTACAATCGATTCTGGGATCGTTACCACGAGATCGACAAGGGAAAGGGAAAATACGTCAAGTACGACAAAGGGTCGATCGCTGCTGTTTTCCGCAGTCTTTACTGATTGCATTTTCTCCGCGGTACATTCGGATCAGGGCTCTATCCGTACGTACTGCACGTTAGTACCCGGGGATGAAATTCCTACGCAACTGCGAGAATGAGAATAACCCTAAGCTACCCGCGCATACTTGCACGAATACACATTCAGATTTCTGAACGGTTTAGGGAGGTGGAGTGCGGCAGAGGAGACCGGCAAGACATCAGGCCATAATTGCGTCTCAGGCGTGCATCCTGTCCTTTGATAGGATCTCGCAGACTTACCCATTGCCTATTGGCGAATGGCGTCGGCGCCCGCGCCGTTGTCTCTTGTCTGTGACTGGTGACGGGGATAGGGCGGATGAGAGAGGAGGTCTCGCAACGAATTACCTCCATTGAGAACGTATGTGCGTGAAGGGAGATTGTGATTACGGATTCGCTTTGGCCTGCGCATTTTGCATGGGTGTTTTGGACGATTCGCATGTTTCATGACCGTTTAACGGGGCTTGAGAAGTTGAGGGAAAGAGGAAGGAAGCATAAAAATGATCATGAGTGGGTCAAGGTTGCCTTCACCCCTTGGCTTTTGATCGAAATCACTGAACTAAATTGCTTATGCTAGGATTTCTAGAGATACCACATTCACGGAGAATGGCGTTATGTTTTTGGACGGTATTTGGCCCGACTTATCTAAAACACAGTTCTCATCATCTTTCGCTGTATATAGATTCATATAATCATGTCTTAATTATGATACTATCGTGACTTTCGACGTCCCCAGAGAAGTCATAGTAATGCAAAATTAGGAGATTCCACCACCGATTTAGGTCCATTCATAAACCATAACACCAGCCAGCCACCCGCAACGGACCTTAGCAAAAGCACCCGGCAGGTATAGAAGCACCATGAAGAGAGTGGATAAGGGCTTGGCTGACCAGAAAATCAGATATCATTTTCCTCTCTAGACTCTCACAAGTTATAAATCTGCCTGTGATTCCGGTTTGTTCCATCTTAGAGGAAGCAATGTCGCCAGTCATATCATCTCATCTTGGTTCAATCTTTGGCTGATTGAATGTAACATATACACACCCCCTACCACCAGCCTATGAGCAATTACTAAGTAGTACCCTATATACATCCCCTAATCTCATGACTCTCTACGATCACGATCACTTGTAGAACCAACAGCTTCTCCACCCACAAAAGCTCTATCGGCGATCCCTGATGGGGATGAGCAACTCGTCGCCCTTTTCTGCTGCTAACAGGGTATCCTTTTGGATATGGTAACTCTTCTATCTCAACCCTTTTCCTTAACTTCCTGCTAGGTTTCACTCCGTTGCCGGTTATGGGATGAAAGTTATACCTAGTATTCCCATCTCTCACGCCTTTGTAGCCTGTATCTCATGTTTGTTCTGTACAGTCCGTAAGCGGGAACGGGGGTATTTCGCAACCCGGGTGGCCTCACCCGGCTGTGGAGGGAAGAGGGAAAATGCACATATCGATGGCACTTTCATCACTTCAGTACCTACCTCTACTTACTCTCAATTTTCACCTACTGTATGAATTCTCTGCATGATGAACAGCTCCAGTATACATAGCTAGTCTGCCGGCATTACCTGTCTTACCGACCCTACTCTGTGCCGGCCGTGTCCTGCCGTCTTTTACGCCGGGTTCATTCTTCTCGTCTGTCTCGCGTCTGTGGCGGAGCGTATAGTTTTTCGGCCATGAGCCGTCCGCTCGTTCATTTGTCTTTCCGCAACTGTCTATATAAGAGCGGGAGTGGATGAGACAAATGATCAATGCGGGGGAACGGCGGAACGGATTGTGTGAACAAAAGAGCGAGTTTCTGGGTTTGTGTCGTTTTACGGACGAACTACTAACCATTGAGAAGCTGGTTGACACTTTTTGATTGATGAGTGCCGGTCGAATGGTTGGGAAAAAAAGCAATCAGATGTTACGCTTGCCGAGATCTCGATAAATTTTTAGTAGCACAAGTTCGGAAAAATGGATGATTGTTCTGAAATTGGGACTGAGCTGGACATTAGAGTTGCCTTCCTCAAAAAGGTGCCTCGTGGTACCTACCTGAGTTTGTTCTCCTCAGGAAGGAACGATACTGGGAGAAAATAAAGGCAGGTACGCTATACGTACACGGCAGTTACTCTTCACCCAAACATTCTGTCCTTTCCTCCAGTCTGTTCTTGGTGCGTTCCATTCCCGTTAAACCTACCATTATTATGTCATCCAAAAGCACGCATCGAGAAGTCCGTCGACAAAATCAGGATTTTCCCTTGTTCAAGTTCTCACAAATCTTCCATGTAGCGTCAACGTGGCGTTTCATGCATTTCCAGGCTGTCTAACGGCACAGTAGATCGGAATGTCGCGACACATTTCTATTTGGGAGAAAAGACGACCTCATCATAGATACTTTTACTACGATCACATCAGTTTATACCTTGAGGGATCATGTATGACGGTTTTAGGCTCGATGCAATAGAAAGGTTTCAAAAACAGGAAAGCTTGCTATTTGTCTCTAGTTTGTCATAGAGTCGTACGTTCATGGTATGTTTGTATGTTGGGAGTATCTCCCAAACACCCAACGTCCACCGAGCGAGCTCGGCCCGCTCACTTGCTTGGACATCCCCGCTTCATCGTCTTTCCGTCTTTTACCTCCCATCTCCATCCGCGGAGATCTAGGTTACGGTCCGGGAGGAGTCGAGAATTGTGCATGTTCAGGGGCCCATGTTCATATAATGGCAATATGCACGTCAGAAGCAAGGGGGATTCAATTCCAGTAGGAGAAGGGGGCCCGGAGAGAGCAGCGGAGAATGTGTTGGACAACAGGATTATCGTATCATTATTACATTGAAAACTTGTGAGTGTCTTGCGTAAAAAAGTATAGAACTGGGTGGGTGGTTTCAGTTGACCTATGCTTCTTTCTGCTCTTCTCCCGATTTGTGCTTCATATTTGCGTTATATTCGTACCTTTACCGAAGGTTATAGTCCTGACTCTACTGGGGTCATCCTTCCTCCTACAACTAAAAGTCTTGGCGCCAAGTGTTAGTACTGTCGCCCAGACCCCCGCAAAAACCTTAACGCTACCAAAATCGCCGTCTTTACAGTCGATCCCTCTCACCTTGGAAGCATTGCAAAATGCCCGACGACGAGGCCAATACGGCCAAAACCCCCTTAAGCCTTCCTCCTAATCCCTCTCTACCCCCCGCGGCAAGTTGTACGCCGCTAGCAACTATAATAGCGCCGCAATCGAAGTCCAAGAGGCTTCGCACCGAGGAAGACCGCTGTAACGCCCCAACTACTAATAATACTATTGCTTAAGAACTATTCGTAGCTATTAGGGAGACCGCCGACCTTGCTATCGCTTAAACGGACGTTTTTAAGGCTTTCGTAGAGGCTATTAACTCTTAGGCGGAGCGCTTCGCTACCCGTTCGCCGGCGCACCAGGCTTAGGCCGACGCCCTTTCCCGAATCCTTACTAACGCTATCCGGTAGAAAATTTCTACTTTACTACCTACCCCCTACTTTTCGGCCCTGCCTACCCTACACTTTCTAGCCCTACTTACCCTCCACTTTTCGGCCCCGCCTACCCTATACTCCCCCGCTACCCCGGATTCCCGCCCTACTCTACCTACCCGCCCAACCGCTACTATAAGACCCCTTACCTCCTTCGCTAATACTGCTACTAAAAATATACTATTTAAGCTTAATAACGTTTCTTCCCGCATTTAGAAGGTTAAAATTACCCTACTCCCCCAACCCTAACCCTAAAACTGGATAGTTATATTTTTATTCGAATAGACTCCCAATTCTTATATAAAGATATTACTATATATATAATATAACGTAAAGTAGTTAAACTCCTCGGTCTCCGCTTAGAGGATATTACTACTTACTATACTATCCGGTTTAATTTTACCTTCGTTCTCTAAAATAAAAATATTAAGGCGGCGATTATAGAACGTTCTCACAATATTAAATTTATTTTAGGTACTAATATTAAATTACTAAAGCGTTGGGTAATGTACACGGTCCCCGGCATTCCAATAAAGATCCGCTTTAGTAATAATACGGTTATACTTACTACCGAATATATTATAGAGGAAGTTTATATCCAAACTAGTAACAAGCTAATATACGTCCGTATCTCCCTAAACTATAATACGAATACCCACTACTATACTACGTAGCTCGTTGCTTTTAATACCCTATAAGCCTCTTTTAAACTCTTTAATACTAATAGTATATTATAGTTTATAAATAAGAAGAAATTATTCCTATAGTACCTAGAATATTTTAATTAGTACGGCTACTAGGGTTATATCCGCCTTCGGGTTTATAAAGATTATAGTAAGGCCGGATATTTGAAGGAGGTTTGTACTAACCCCCTCTAGTACGTTAATTATTGTAGGCCCTACCCTACTACCTATTTAAACTATAGGGTTAGATTAGTAAAATATAATAGTAGCTACGTACGGTTATTTAAGTAGATTTATGGAGATATTAAGGTCGTTGGGCAGAAGCGATATAATAAAATTAATAGTATAAATTTAAGAAAGGCTATAGATTTATCCAATAATGATTCGGCGCCCTCCGGCCCTAAAAATTCGAATATTTTATCCCGCTCCTAGCTATAGCCGATAATAGAAGACTTTACTATATTGGAAGCCTAAATCGTAGAGGAATCCTCCAATTCTAAAAGCCTCTAGAGGTCTACTCAATACTGATAGCCGACGGTTAAGGCTGCCTTCTAATATTAATAGAAGGATACTGATAATAACCCTCCGCCTAATTTAATATACTTAAACTCCAAATCTTTTAAACGAATATAGTAAAAAGTTTAAGTATATATACAATTACCCTCTATATAGCTTCGACGGAAGGTGTAAATATTATTTTACTATAAGAACTATAAGTATAGGTTTCGAAAGAGGGAGTTCCACAGACCTTTTCCTTCGGACCTTATTCCTTTTTTTCGTTAATCTACTCTTAAATCGAAGAAGCGACTACGGAGCCCCGAATATTTATATATATTAAAAAAGGCTTCGCTATAATTACTTTCAACCCAAAAGGCCGAATTAATAGAAATATCCTATAAACTATAGTACGTAGGATTATTTTTATTAATATCTACCAGTAGATTAGCAATAAAACTAATTTAGAAGCTTTAGACTAGTAGGAGCCGGCCCTGAGAACTTTTATTATGGGCGATTTTAATGCTAAATACTATTTTTAGTAATCTGGTTCCTAAATAATAGAGGGCAGTACTTTTATTATTAATCTTATAGCTAATAAAGGGTTCGATATTGCGAGTCCAATAAGCGTCTTAACTTATAATTTAAATAATACTATTGATTTTATACTAATAAATATCCCCCTTATAACCTACTAGGTAGTAGACGACCTAGATATTTCAACGAACTATTTCCCTATCCTCTCTAATATTCTAATT